CCCAGGGATGTGCAGGTTAGGGTGGATTGGCCGTGCTAAATTGTCCCGTAGTGCCCAGGGATGTGCAGGTTAGGGTGGGTTGGCCATGGTAAATTGTCCCTGTACTGATTTGTCTGGAAAGGGAGATTCGACCGGCAACAAGTACCTGATTGGTCTATGGATTGGTGACCAGTTGTCAAGGGTAACATCCCTCTGCCTGCCAACAACGATGTCATTGCTCTGAGGGAGCTGACCAGCTTCCGCGGGGCTGGGCGGGGGTGGTGGGGGTGCGGGGGGGAGCTGTGGGGAGCCCCCTGGCTCGAGCCCGCAAGACCAGAAGATACAGGAGCAGAATTAGACCATTCACAACAATGAGTCTGCTCCACCATTCGATCATGATAACACTTCTCACATGAACCCCTCTACCTCTGCCTTCAATACACTTAGTCTTCACAGGTCTGTGCGGCAATGAATTTCACAGAGTCACCACCCTCTGGCTGAAGAAATTCCTCCTCATCTCAGTTCTAAAGGGTTGTCCCTCCACCCTGAGGCTGTGCCCTTGGGTCCTAGTCTCTCCTACTCATGGAAACATCTTCTCCATGTCCATTCTATCCAGGTCTCTCAGTAAGTTTTGATCAGATCCCCCCTCTTCCCTCTAAACTCCACAGAGTACAGACCCAGAATCCTCAACCTCTCCTCATCTTCATCCCCGGGATCATCCTTGTAAACCTCCTCTGGACCCCCTCCAAAACCAGCACATCCTTCCTTAGATACAGGGCCCAAAACTGCTCACAATATTCCAGACGCGGTCTGACCAGAGCCTTATACAGCCCCAGCAGTACGTCCCTTCTCTTGTATTCTAACGCTCTAGAAATGAATGCTAACGTTGCATTTGCTTTCCTAACTGCCAACTGAACTTGGGCGTTAGTCTGAAGAGAATCCTGAACTAGCCCCTCTTGTGCTTTAGATTTCCGAAGCTTTTCCCCAACCCTAACGCTAACACAAACCATTCCAGCCTGGCTGATATGTTTCTTAACCCCATTCTCCAGCCTTCTCCCCTTAAACCTTAATGCCCCTTACTATTCAAGACTGACGATGAGGGCAACTAGGGACAGACACTAAATGCCAGCCCAGGCAGCGATGCCCACATCCCATGAGGCTATAACAAAAAGAGTGATGTGCTCGGTCATTTCAGAGAGCAGTTCAGACCCAACCACATTGCTGTGGTCTGGAGTCACAATATAGGCCCAGACCAAATGAGGATGGCAGATTTCCCTTCCCTAAAGGACATTAGCGGACCGGGTAGGATTTCCAATAATCTGGCCATGTTGCTGAGAATACCATTTGGAGCCAGAGCTGTGCAGAACCTTCGGCCCAACTCGTCCATGCCGACCCGCACATCCTAAATTAATCTAGTCCCATTTGCCAGCATTTGGCCCGTATCCCTCTAAATCCTTCCTATTCATGTCCCCATCCGGATGCCTTTTACATGCTGTAACTGTACCAGCCTCCACCACTTCCTCTGGCAGCTCATTCCATACACGCACCACCCTCTGTGTGAAAAAGTTGCCCCTCAGGTCCCTTTTAAATCTTTCCCCCTCTCACCTTAAACCTATTCCCCTCTAGTTTTGCTCTCCCCTACCCTGGGGGAAAAGATCTTGTCTATTCACCCTATCCATGCCCCTCATGATTTTATGAACCTCTATAAGGTCCCCCCTCAGCCTCCGACGCTCCAGGGTAAATAGCCCCAGCCTCTCCCTGTAGCTCAAACCCTCCAACATCCTTGTAAATCCTTTCTGAACCCTTTCAGGTTTCACAATATCTTTCCTATAGCAGGGAGACTGGAATTGCAGATAGTATTCCAAAATTGGCCTAATAAATGCTGCAACATGACCCTCCCAACTCCTATACTCAATGCACTGAGCAATAAAGGCAAGCATACCAAACACTTCCTTCACTATCCTGTCTCCCTGCGACTCCACTTTCAAGGAACTATGAACCTGCCCCCCCAAGGTCTCTTTGTTCAGCAACACTCCCCATTAAGTGTATAAGCCCTGCCCTGATGTACCTTTCCAAAATGCGGCACCTCACGTTTATCTAAATTGAACACCCCTCGGCCCATCGGCCAAGTGGTACGTTGAAAAGTAAATGCGAAGAAATCACCTGGATTCCCTAGAGGCTGCTGTCGTAGTTACTCGCACCCTCGGTACTGTGCAGCGAATGGTTACCCAATCCCATCTAACGCCAAGCACTTTCTGTTTCAGGTTTTGCAAGCTTTGGCAGATTGAGTGTGACCCACTCTGCTTATAACGAACGCCCGAAGGAATGTGCTCTTTAATTCAGGCTTTAATTCACTTGAACACACGTATACCTCCCTCGCTCTGGCCCTCTAGCTAATACCAAACGTCACTTGCTAAGCTGGCATGCCCAGTTTTCGGTGCAATTTTCCGTCCCCTGCTGTAAATGATGGAGAGCATCTGAAACTTGTCCCGATCAGCGCGAGAACAAACTCTTTCGCCACCAGGAATCTCTTTTCAGTAATAAGATGTAGTAGGCTGTTCAGCCCCTCGATACTGCTGTACCATTCGATGAGGTCAGACCATCCTCATCTCCTTCTCCCCCTTCACCCTTCACTGATTAAATATCTGTCTGTCTCAGCCTTGACCCAGCCTCGACAGATCCCTCTGTGGCAAACAGTTCCACAGATTCACTCCCCTCTGAGAGAAGAAATATCTCCTCAACTCCATCTTCAGTGGGCGACCCCCTTATTCTGAGCTGACACCTTCTGATCCCACAAGGGGGAAACAATCTCTCCCCAGCTCCCCCCGTCAAGTCCCCCTAAGAGTCTTGTGTGTTTCAATAAGGTCGCCCCTCATTCTTCTAAACGCCATCTAGTAACTGATCCAACCTCTCCTCGTAAGACCGTCCCTCCATACTCCTCTGTACTACCTCCAATGTCAGTCTATCTTCCCTTAAGGAAAACTGTTCACAGCTGTGGTCTAACCAATGCCTTGTACAGTTTTAGCTAAACCTCCCGACTTTTAGTCTCCAGTCCCTCTGAAGTAAAGGCCAACATTCCATTTCCCCTTCCCCTCTTACCCAGTGAGCTCAGATGCTGGTAGATTTTGTGATACACGGTATGAAGAGTCTAACGATGACCGTGAATCCATTGCCGATCGTTGGAAAAACCCATCTGGTTCCCTAATGTCCTTTAGGGAAGGAAACTGCCATCCCGACCTGGTCTGGGCCTACATGTGACTCCAGACCCACAGCAATGTGGTTGACTCTCAACTGCCCTCCGGGCCATTAGGGATGGGCCATAAATGCTGCCCTAGCCAGCGATGCCCTCATCCTGTTAATGAGTAATAAAAAAAATCAGGACAGAGCGCAGAAAATGTGAGACAGAATATCTCAGGGCTAACATCAGACAGACGGTCCTCACACAAAATCCAAAACTCTACACCACCACACCGTTCCCCCCACCCCAGAAAAAAAACCAGATGCTGGGACTAGGTTTCGATTTAAAATGTCACTGTTGACAAACATTGGATGAGGGTATTAATAGTTAAGGAGCAAAATGGGTAGCTATAATGCTAAGGGGCTGAAAGGCCTCCTCCTGTGGGAAAGAATGGAGAAGGGGGCTGCGTGGCCTTCTCCTGTGGGACAGGCTGGAGAAAGGACGATGAATGGCCGCCTCCCGTTCCTATGGGAGAGGCTGGCGAAAGGGGCTGAATGGCCTCCTCCTGTTCCTGTGGGACAGGCTGGAGAAGAGCCGAACGGCCTTCTGTTCCTGTGGGACAGGCTGGAGAAGAGGGGGAAGGGCCGAACGGCCTCCTGTTCCTGTGGGACAGGCTGGAGAAGAGAGGGAAGGGCCGAATGGGCTCCTGTTCCTGTGGGACAGGCTGGAGAAGGGGGCTGAATGGCCTCTCCCTGTTCCTGTGGGACAGGCTGGAGAAGGGGGCTGAATGGCCGCTTCCTGTTCCTGTGGGACAGGCTGGAGAAGAGGGGGAAGGGCCAAATGGTTTCCTGTTCCTGTGGGACAGGCTGGAGAAAGGTTGGGGGTGTGGCGGGGGGTTGCTGAATGGCCTCCTCCTGTTCCGATAATCCTGCTGACTGATGTGTGGTGGGTGCCCCTGGGCTGTAGGTAGGCCCGGGGGCCTGGGGCTAAGAGGCTTTCTGGGTCGTGTGACCTGCCGTCCCTGTATCTCCACAGGTTGCCAAGTTCCAGATGTTTGGGAAGAGCAGCCTGATTGTGATGGTGCCCATGGACAATAGCCAGACCGTACAGCAGTTTGAACAGGCCCTAACCCTTCACAAACTGCAGGCCACCATCGCCAAACTCCAGCAGGCCAAGTTCAAGCCCATCAGTGTCCTGATGCCCAAACTCAAGCTGAAATTCAACCAGGATCTCATTCACCCTTTCAATGACATGGGTCAGTGCACAAACAGGGATGCACCCAGTCAGGCTCATGGAGCTCCACACTGTATCTAACCCCGTGCTGTCCCTGTCCTGGGAGCGCTCGATGCTGACACTGGGTATAAAGTGGGGCGGTGGGGTGGTGAACACTGTCAGGGTAATGTAGAGGGAGCTTTACTCTGTATCTAACCCCGTGCTGTCCCTGTCC